GGGTGGGGGTGGGGGTGGGGGGGTTGAAATACTTGGAGCTACGATCTCCCGCTCCTTCTTGGAGCCAGGCAAATTTTGTCCCCTGCCTTATTCTTTCAAGAGTCCTGTCGCAGAGGTCGAACGCACTACCCCATAGCGTTTTTTGTTTTTTGTTTATTAGTGATACTAGGCCGTGGTGAAATTGATGCAGCCAAAAGAGTTTTTGGGTCCCCTTCCAAGAAGGACGGGGTCTGAATCGACAGTTCTTGACTCCATAGGGTTGAGGAAGCACATCAATGATGTACCCTTCTCCTTTTGGAGTTCTGGGTGGTGTCTATTTCAGATAAGTTGAGTGGTTGGAGATATAGGCCTGGAAGTTTTCGTGCCTGTTGCTGAAAGGAAGACCGAGAATGTGTGCCTAGTAAAAAACTTGTTATTTTTCTGGTATTGCTTTTCCTTTAACAGTGCAGTGCAGGTAGTTGGAATGGGAGGCTATGAGAGCATGGATCAATAGTTCATACTAGTAATCGCTGATGAAGTTAGGGACTCTGAGAACATGGGGCTTGCCTTTCTTAAGTCCCAGCCATTGGATTCCCGTGTCTTTTCAGTGGCAACAACCTGTAGATCTAGAGTTATATTAATCTGGCAAGTTTTGCCTAGTGGCTGAAGGATGAGAGTAGTAAGTAGTCTTCCAGGGGAAAGGGGCTTCAGTTGTTGAACATAATGACGGGGGAGGGGAACCCTGGTTTCTCAGCCATGTGGTTAAAGCCCTTCTTTCACTTCTTAACGATAAGAATAATCTGTGTGTCCAGTTTCAGGGTTTATTAAAAATAGTTTTGCATTGCTGATTTGATTTCTGTCTGATAGAAGATTTTGCTTAAACAGAATGGAAATCTAGAGATACTTTGCAACATGCTCCAAAATTGGCACAGTATGGCTTAGTCCTGCTGTTTCAGAAATTCTCTACGGTTAGGTTTGGGTTGATTTTCCCTTTGGCAAAAGCACGGGCAAAAGGGCAAGGGAAGGAAATTATAGTTCTGGGAAATTCAACATGGCTCATCGGTGAGCCAGCCAAAGTATAAAATAATTTGGCAAATGTGACATTAGATTTAGATAAATGCACATGGAAGTGGAAAAAAGGCATGTCAGAAAAACAAGTGAACTAGAAGCGAGTATTTTGTAGTATTTATGGATTAATATATTCTTAAGGCTTAGTGGGGAAAATATTTTGTTTTCATGAAAGAACTGAGAAGTGTCCTCAAATGACAATATAAACACGCAAGTCTTTTTTTAAATTGTAGAATATGTAAGCTGAAGTTCCTATAGTTGCCAGATGTGGTTGTGATTTCCTATTTTTTTCCCAGCAGCCATTGGTTTGAAAGACATGCATGTGATTCAGCCACTGAATGAAAATATATCATTTGAGCAGCTGGGGTTAAAATGTTCAAATGTTCCTTTTGGAGCTTTCCCAAGTCTGCTGTACAGTTGTAGGACCCGGCGTTACAGCACGTAGTACAGAACAGTGATCAGAGGCAACTGCTTTTTCAGCTCCAATCACCAAGAGCTTCTCAGTATTGCAGACATGGGTTTTATACCCATCCATAGCCATCATGCTATTCCCTTTCTGGGTAAGGAGTTAGTTTTTCCAAGAGTAAAGTTGCTTTGTACCCAGGAATTGCAGCTTCTTAATTTATGCCTTAATTTCCCTTAGTTTCTGATTAAGTAATAATGCATAGCTGAGTATTTTTTTTAAAAAAAATGTCCAGCAGGGTTGGAAAACTATCATTTTCCACTCCTGGTTGGTTTCAGGTTTCTGTTAGCTTGGAGTAGCAGGAAGAAATTTTGACAACTTGTTCCTAAGAGTTCAGATAACCTTGAGTCTGTATAGTCACTAATATGGATCCAATAGGTAAAAATCTTAGCAGCCAAACTTATATCCTGTACCTGATGTGAAATGTAGGAAATGCTTGCATGTATTCTGTATTCTTAAGCTACATACACTTTTGTGGGAGGGATGCACTGTAGAGAACAGAAAGGTGACTTCTTCCCATATACAGCTTCTGTTGTCACTTGAAATTCATTTTTGTTAAAGCTGTGTAAAAATATAAATGTACTGTGGGTTGTCCAAATTAGGCTTCTGGTTTTATCATAGCAGATAAAGCCTTTTTAGCACTATTTTAAAGTGTTTCTAAAAGACAAAGGCCCAGCCTAGTATTAAAAACAGTTACAGCTATGCTGTACTTTGTTCATTTTCCATACAGTTCAGGTGAAATAGCAGCATTGGAATCAGAAGCAACTGTGTTCTCCGTTTTTGGCTGGGGATGACATATCCAAAGCAATCAAAATCTTTTATTCAGGATTAATATGGTGAAATAAAGAGATGAAGCACCATGGAGATAACTGTTTTGGAAGAAACCTATGAGATTAGTCACTCCCACTCCCTGTTCCGTGCAGCCTCTGATGCGTGGCTTGTACAGCCTCTGATTAAAAGGCTTCCAGAGAACAAGAGCCAGCTCCTCATGAGGGAGTCTGTTCTACTACCAAACAGCTCTCACGGGAAGTTTCTCCTAGTGTTTGCCTGAGCCCAGTTCTAGTTTTGCTCTCTGGAGTAACAGATCAAACCTGTCCTATCTTCTGCATGGTGATCTTCTGGGAATTAATCCTCCTTTTCTTGAGTCAGCTGGGCAAATCCTTCAGATAGTAGAGACGTTAGTGGGCAAGAGGGGAACCCTGGTGCTAAGGCAGCAGATGTTTAAAGCAGCGTTCGGTATCTTGCGCCTTGCTAGGTGCCAGGGCCCTCTTTGTTCCTTGTAGCTGTTAGAATTGCAAAGCAGCCCGCTACCGCAGACGCAGACTGCTCCCAGTGGATGTGCGGCAGGTTGAGGCTTTTCTTTGTATCCAAGGCATATCCAAATAGGAGTGGTTTCCAGTAATGAAATGTCATGTGTTCCTTATTGATAACCTTCTGTCTGCTGCTTTATCAGACTATGCGTTCGTTCACATGGAGAAAGACGAGGATGCTAGAGCCGCCATTGAACATCTTAATGGAAGGGAAATCAAAGGCAAAAGGATTAATGTGGAACTTTCTAATAAAGCTCATAAAAGGGGGCCTGCTGGGCACGTTGGTCAGCTTGGCGGTGGAGCTGAAAAGAACAAAATACCAACTTTAGAGAAACTCCAGCCCAGGAGTGATGGCCTGAGATCCGGTAATCTTGCCTTCCCAATGGCAGCTTCGACTTATTCTTCACTTGACTATGACTATCAGCAGCGGTTGAACAATAACAATTTAACCAAATTTGACTCAAACGGCCAAGCCAGGCAGATCTCCCCTTCCTTTTTTGGAAGGGACCGGAGCCCGCTAAGACGCTCGCCCACGAGAACAGGCTATGCACTTCCCATGACCGCCCAGCAAGCTTCCTACAGAGACCAGCCTGCAGCATCGCTCGGAATGGCCTATAGGCCCCAACCTACCACTGGGCAGGCGGCCATGTACAGAGCCCAGCCCTCGACCATGCTCGGAAATGCATATAGAGCCCAGACCTCTGTTGCCATGGGACCTTCCGGTGCCCAGACAGCCGCAGCCTCGGCACTGACACCTTATAATACCCAAGCCTATGGAACTCAGGCTACTGCTTCCCAAGTTACCTCTTACGAGGCCCAGCCCACCACAACCTACGCTGCTTCTTACGGGGCCCAAACCGCTGCCACCTATGCAGCTTCCTACGGAGCCCAAGCAGCTGCACTCTCCGCCTCGTACGGAGCCCAGCCAGCAGCCAACCAGTCAGCCATGTATGCAGCTCACACTCTCTCAGCCCAGCCCACCTCCTATGGAGTCCAGCCCGCTGTTGGCCACGCTGCTTCCTATGGGGCCCAGGCTGCTTCTGCTCTGCCAACTGCTTATGGGACACAGTCTGCCACAAACATGGCAGCTGCTTATAGCATGCAGGATGCTGCAGCCGCAGCCGCTGCGGCTTCCTACAAAACGCAGCTGTCTGCTTCGTTGCCCACGGCCTACAGAGCCCCAGGAGAAGCAGCCTATACAGCCCAACAGTCTGCTTCTGTCCCTGCAGCAGCAGGGTATAGAGCTCAGGCCACAGCATACAACGGGCTAGCTCAGTCTGCGCAGCAGGCGGCTTCCTACCCAGGAATGTCTCAGGCAGAAGCTGCCGCTCTCCACCCTCTGTATGAACGTACACGTCTCTCCCCACCACGCGGCAGCCGTGAGGATCTCTACCGAAAAGCAGCTGCAATGAACAAGAGGTATGCAGCTTAAATCAGTGGTAATGCTTTGCACATCAGTCCCGCGTTCTGTCCGAGGAGCTCTCTGTACTTCCAGAGGGACTCCAATGAGGCTTCATTCTGCGGTTCCCAGGAGGTGTCAGATTTCCTTCTAATCCTCGAATTTGGGGTGTGCTTGAAAACAGGAATGGGGGTTGGGAATGGGGCTTGCTGACCCTTTGCTTCACTGGTTCTGCCTTTAGATTTTTTTCTCTCAGCTGGTCTTTCAGCCCTTTTCTGTGCTTTTCTGTGTTAGGGAAGGGGGGAGCACATGTTAGTTGCACTCCTACTTTATCCCCCTCCCAATCTGCATATTGTAAATATGTGCATATAAGAAGAGTGGACATTCTAGGAACCGAAAATACCTGAGTGGGCATTTCTGTGGAAGGTGTGTTAGCTCTGCTTCCTGAGCAAACCCTGTCATATGGAATTGAAACTAGACCCTTTAAATCTCCTTAACTCAGCCTGAGGATAAAGGTTGCAGCTGCTTATGGGCTGTAGTTGTTTTTTCCCTGATTCAAAGAAGCCAGTATTAATTTTCTAGGTTCCTCAAATTGGAAAAAACTTGCCCTGTGCACCACGCCATGTATTTTGGGCCACTTTCAACACCCAAGAGCCTGAATTCTTGAGTGGTTATATCATCAGGTACAGTTTGAGTCCAGGGCATGAGACATAATAACTGAATCCCTGAGCATTTTCCTTGCTAGATTATTAATGGGGAACTTTTCATACAGGTACTGGGAGTTAGAAGGGCTAGTAATTCAGGCTTCAGCACTTGGCCTTAATACAAGTTTGAGATCCTTTGCCCATCTTAGAATTTAATTTCTGGGCCATAGTATTGTGAAGTCTGGAAGGAATTTCATAGTACTCTTGAGCAAGTATTTACAGTATAGCTAAGCCATTGAGGGATTCTCCATATCATCCAAGACACAGGTAAAATAGTTTCAATTCTTGTAGGATGAGGTAGCGGAAGAAAAACTACCCCTTGAATTCTTCTAATAGGTCCCTCTCTGTGCTTGAATCTGCCAGTGCTCTCCTCTGCCAGACGGGGGGAGGGCATCCTTGTCACCGCATATGTTTTATTGGGGCGTTTGCCATGAGCCTCGTTTTTTTTTTTAATTTACCAAATGTCTCTTCTCTTAACCAGGTACAATTCTGATCTCTCAGATGACCGCCGTTTATCTGACCTCTCTGATTTCCGCCGTTTAGCAGACTCCCCCCATGCGTACCGCCATTCGCCAACAAAGGCTCAACTGGATTATCGCCGCCTCCCAGAAATGCAGTCTGATGCCCGTTATGCAGGTGCCTATGGCGATTACTTGCGTAATGCACAACTGCAGCTGCATGCTAGTTACCAGCGCCGCCTGTAGAGGAATTTCCCCGTCTCTTCTGGGGTGGGACTCTGTTGCTGTGGCATCCGCCGTTGTAACACATAGAGCATAACGCCAGCTGCTGCGTCCTCAATGAGCAGTTTGATTTCAGAATATCCTTTTAGTCCTGACATTTCTTTATCATGGATGCCCTAGGCCACTTTAGCTCTTAAATTTCTTTTTGTTCTTTCTTATACCATGTAAAGGGTGTGCTATTTACCTTAGTCAGCTAGTGAGTCATATACGCTGTCCAAGATGAACAGTTTTATAAAGGAGTCTTTTGAGTGGTTGCCTTAACCTTAACGTTAGGGCTCTCCGCTCGGCCTCAGGAGCATTGTGCATTGCTGCATATTCAACCTCTTAAAACCAAAGTTTGGAGTAGGGGTGGCCATGTAGAGAACGACGTTTCCTTCAGGTTCCTCGGTCTGGCCTTTCTCTAGATCCCGCCAATGAGAAATAAAACTGTTCTACATTGTTATCTTCATTTAATGTTGAGAGAATCAGTATCCTTTCCAAATCAGCTCAGTTGCTTTTATGTAACAGCATCCCTCATTGATTTATGTCCGTCTAGACTCTGCAAGTAAACCTTATGTTAGAAGTGAGTTTAGATACTTTTTTTTTTTGGTATTACTGTAAATAAAATGGGCTGAATGACATTTTAGAACACCCAGTTGTATTATGATTTTGGTGTGTGTGCGCGTGCGCATGCGCGCGAATACCCATTCACTCATCTTTCTTTCATTGGTATGTGTGTAAAGCAGCTTCCCCAGCTTCGCCCCTCTGGATGTTTTATCCTACAGTTCCTATCATTCCTGACCATTTTCCATATGGGCTATGAGTGAAGGGAGTCAGCGATCCAGAATAGCTGAAGGGGCTTAGGTCAGGAAGGAGTGCTCTAAAACAGTTACACTGCGGACTGTTTCTGCCAAAGGGTACTGGAAGTGGGTAATCTGTAGTTGGCATTGGTGAGTGCAGACCAGGCGCGCCAAATTCATTTGAATTCCTAAGATCCAGCTCTCCCACTCCAAGGTGCATAGTATTCATAGAACTGGTGTTACCCTTTCAGCAGAGTGCTTGAACTCATTGCACCTGCAGCGTTAAAAACGAATCGCTGTCGCTAAGCCCTGTGTAATACAGTAGTAACCTGTGCAAAGCTCTATCCTTCCATTGTGTTCTGGAGATAAATCACAGTCTTTTTTCTATCCCATTTGACCTTCATGGTGTTAGATTTGTCAGAAACCAAGACAATGTAGCTTCTCTTGGGTGTGAGGAAAGGTGAGTTCTCAACATAGGAGGAAAGAGAAGGATGTGCATATGAAACTGGAAGGCCTGAAATAGTTTTGTTTAAGGGGAGCCATTATGATTCCTGGCAACTCACTGTGCAACTGGAGAGAGCTTTTTCCCTGCTTTAAAACAAAAACGAAAGCTTGGTTTGTTCATTGTGCTAGGCCATGGCTTATTTAGCCACGGTTTGATGGCTGAGCTTCTACTACACATCAGTCAGACTAAACAAACAACTTTTTAGCTTGGTGTGAACCATGTCAAAGCTATTTTAGAAGTGTAGTCCATGAACTAGTTGCACAGTGGCAGCATGATGGAATAGTGGCACGAGCTGAACACAAACTCAGCTTGTAATAATTTAACAAATGTAGAAAGGTGAAGCCGGTCCTAATTTGTGTCTTTCTGAGTAAACTAGGGTATTATTATACAGCTTTTTATAGGATTGGGCTTTTTAGAAATGGAATAAAACGTACAAATTGCTGTACTCCGGCTCTGTATCTCTTCCTTTTTTAAAAGGTCTTTCTCGGGCAAACTCTTATAGTGATCTGTATGTCTTGCCTCCTTACTTAGCACTTTGCTCAGACACAGTTGCCCCCAAAGAGCTGATGTAAGGCAAAGCTAATACTGCCCGTTCCTTTTCTGTCAGAAGAGCCATATTACCATGCTAAATAGGGCTCCCACAGTAGTTCATAGTGGGAAAGAAGCCTTCATTATTCTGTGCATATCTTCTTCCTGGAAAAGCTCCACTGGAGTCATGTGGCTCGAAGACAAGGTCTTTACGGGTTTTGAGAACGGATGCTGGGAAGCTGTGCGCAACTAGGAAAGGAAGAGGTCTGACTTGATCACTGTTGTTGAAGATGGGCTTTATCGTGTCTCCAGGTATCTTTTCAGCTGTCCATTCAGGTTTGTGAGTGTGGTGTCAAATCAGTGACCCATATCTTCTTCCTTATTTTATTTATGATGGATGATGAGGCCCAAGAACATGGCCCTAAAAAATCATTTAACACACCCATCCCCCCACCAACACACACACGCGCGCGCGCAAATGGAACTTACACAGAATGTTGATAGTGATACCTCTTGGAGTTGGTTACACTTGGGTAGCTGAATCTTTCCAAAAATTGGAGAAGGATCCTGGCACTGCATAGCTAAGTAGAAGCGTTGACAGAAAAGGTATGGGCCAGCTTTGGATTGCAAGGGGAGAGGGAGAAATTAATGTAGAATACGTTTAGAAATTGGCCATAGATTTGTAGTCAGTTATATCCACAAATTTAATTCAGCCTCAACAAGAGCCACCTCAGGACTCCAAACTCTGTTGAAGGTTAAAAAAAAACGATTCCCATTACAACAGAAAAAACAGAAGTTTTGATCAGTAGGTGCTGAAGGACAATGACTTTGGCTCCTCCATTGTTGCAAGGTTAGAAGTAGAAACTCTTGCTGACCCTCCCTCCCCTGTTAAAAGGATTTATAAAAATAGCTTTACTTTCAACATAGTTGTTCTTCTGTCTTTCCCTGTCATGAAAGACTGCATGTTCTGCAACAAGTGATAGAGTTGAGCAATAAAAATAATTTTAAGTTTAAAGTTAAGGCATTATGTGCTGTGGCATCCTGGCATTTAAATAATGCAAGATAGTTGGATAGAAGTTTTTCCTGGCACTTTAAATTTTGATTTTTAGTTAACATTCAACTTGGCCAGTATTGTTTCTTGGCAAGACCTTTGTGTCTTCTTATGTAATTGTAATATGGATACTGTCATTCATCCCTGCTTAAAAGCCAGTTAATGTTGGTAACTATTTAATTGGATCTTGGGGGGGGGGTTTCCTTATAGTATGCAAGCATAGGGTATTTATTTTTCAGCAACTCCTATATTTCTACCATTGGCTCCTACCAAGCCATGCTTCCTTTCTAGGGTCAGCTGCCAGCATGAAACAGAGTTTTCTCCTTTACCAGTGCTTCAGCACTGAAAGCTTATGAAAATGCTGCTTCCAGGAGGCACTCTGGCATTCTTTCTGTTGTTTTTTTAAATTTGCTTCTGGTGAACAATTATGAGAGGTTGAGCTATTTCTAGACTGGGGAGTACAGCCTCGAAAAGACCCTGGCATTGGTTGTGTGGGCTAACCAGCCAGAAAAACAGTTTGTCGCTTGCTTTAATTTCAACAATCTACGACTTGATTGTTAATCAAGCCTTTTCAGTGCTGCTTGTTGTATTAGTCCCACTCCTTCCAAATGACAATAGACCTCAAAGGTACAAAATTAACCATTGGGCCATGATGATGTTTAGATTCATCCATCAATTCCTGGGCATCTCAGTCAAGAGAAGGGATATCCTCCAGAAGAGTAAGGCTTAAAGCTGCAGGTGAAGAGGGGTGAAAAGCTGTAATCCCATACAAGTTAAACTGATGTATCAGTGACTTGTAAATATACACTTGATGAGACCTCAGAAGTCACCAAATTCATTCTTTCAAGGCAGTTTTCTGAGAAGTAGTTTCCTAAAAAAAACAACAGTACACTGCAATCAAATTTCAAAAAAGTGGGTTTATCTACATTAGCTGAAATACTGCAGGGGATCCAAAGAAAGATCAAGAAAAGTTATCAGGTATATACCAACAGGTACCAGGATATCTGAACAATCAGCACCTTGACAGACCAAGTATCCCTGGAGATGGGAAAAAATGGAGTTTGCGAAGGAAGCTTGCTTCAGTTCTTCCACTGATTCTTCTACTGGCTTTGTGTTGTACTTGAAAGAACCACCTGGCTTCTCGAGGTGCTGAAGCAGGTCTTCCTGGTGCCACCCTTTTAGTGTCCTTAAGCAGGGCTACAGGAAACAGGTGGGCTCTTGCATCAGGTTTTCAAAGAGTAACCTGAGCCCTTGTATACACGTAATGTGAGAGGTACACATGAATGAGAAAAACTTGGTGGTGCTGCAGAAGACTCGTGCTTTACGAGGGACATCTAGCCTTGAGGAATCAAACCCTCTGATTTTCAATCTCTAGAATAAAAATGCAAGCATACTTTTATCTGCCCCATCTGTCTGGGTTTTTCTAGCTATAAGCCCGTTAATACCCCAGATTAAAATGCCATGTATCTAACTTCATCTCCTGGAGCTCTTGTGTACCACACAGCTTGTTTAATGTCAGAGCTAGATATTTCTTTGCCCTGCCTCTAACTCTGTTAGCCAGTTCTTTGGTGTTCACAGACACACTGCGAAAACAGCACTAGGCCCAAACAGATATACCACATTGGTATAATTGGATGGCCTCGTTCCCTACAGCGTGCTGAAAGACTACCCAGCTTCATGTTAGTTTCCATGTGCAAACCCAGCTTTCTCTGGCTACAAAACAGCCTTCCATTCCTCTCACCTTTACTGCTTGAACACTCCGCTTGTCCTGGAACCCCATACTTCTTCCTCAGCCATCAACTCATGGCCCGTGGAATTAAGGACAAGGGGCCTTCTCTTTCAGAGGTTCCTTGGGGCAGTAATGCGGTCCTGCCTGATGAGTTGCGATGGTTCCTCCTCTCGAAAAAAGCTGCTGCTTTCCCATGGTTGTGTCCCTTTTGCCCTGTGTAGCCTGGTTTGGGTATTCCAGCAGGAATGTTGGGGTTTGGGGTGAAGTGGGGTGTTTCCTTTTGCCTCCTTACAGTGCTGTAACATTAGGAAGTCTGTGCCTTACTGTGGCATGGACTGATGATGTCTTCTTTTTTTTTTTTGGCCTGAAATGGCTGTGTTCAGATGTTGGGAAACTTTTAGATAATCACCTATTGATGATCATTCCGATTGAGAGTGTGCATGTGCGTATCTCTATTCTGTTTCAGTCCCTCCTAGAATATGAGTCCCCAGGTGTGGAGTTCCTTTTCCTTGCCAAAATTCACAGGCCACATTTAGGATGGCTGGCTGGACTCCGCTACGTTCCTGACAACCTTGACTGAACCAATCATAGAGGCTGGGGCTGCCTTACCAGTTAGGCCAAAATACGGTTTGCTACTTAGTTTACCTGTTCCGCGGAAGATCTTTTTATCAAATGAAGCCCGTGGGCTGGCTTTCCATCGCCCCTGCCTGAGCCAGAAACGCAGGCCGTGAGTTTCACGACCAAATGAGCATTTGAACCCGGAGAGATGCCCGACCAAGTTAGAATCCGAGTGCCGAAAGAGACGCGTCCTCAAGACCCTGTAGAAAGCTTTAGCCTCGGCCGGGCTGTCTGCGCGCCGGGATGCTCCCCGCACCCTCGGCCCTTCGCCTGCCTTGGGGTAGG